TCCAAAAATTTATCAGGGTCAAAGAAGATACAAAAATGAATTTTAAAAAAGTATTGTTTACATTGAAGTAAAAAAACCCCAAACATTGTTTTTTTGTTTTTAAAAATTGTTATGAAACTCACATAACTTAAAATTAACCATTTTAAAGTGTACGATTCACTGGCCTCTAGTACATTCACAATGTTGTACAACCACCACCTGTATCTAGTTCCAAAACAATCTCATTACCCCAAAAGAAACCCCATACCCATGAAGTAGTCACATTCCTTCTTCCTCCCAGCCCCTGGCAACCACTAATGTACTTTTCGTTTCTATGGATTTATTTACTCTGGACATTTCATATACATGGAGTTATTTAATATGTGTCCTTTGTATCTGGCTTTTTTCACTTAGCATAATGTTTTTGAGATTGATCCATATTTTTAGCATGTGTTAGTACTTCAGTTCTCTTTATGGCTGAGTAATATTCCATTGTGTATATATATCTCATATTTTATTTATCCATTTATCTGTTGATAGACATTTTGGCTGTTTTTAATTTTTGGCTATTGTGAGTAGTGTTGCTATAAGTATTTGTATATAAGTATTTATTTATGTAAGTAGTGCTTTTTACATTATGAAATAGTAGACAAAAATAAAGCCAATATCAGCTGGTGTAGCTCGGTGGCTGAGCATCAACCAGAAGATCATGGTTCGATTCCTGGTCAGGGCACATGCCTAGAATGTGGGCTTGATCCCCAGTAGGGGACATGCAGGAGGCAGCCAATTGATGACTCTCTCATCATTGATGTTTCTATCTCCTCTCCCTCTCCCTTTCTCTCTGAAGTCAATTTTAAAAAATCCAATATGGATTAAAAATAAAAGTACAAAACTAGCAAAATATCTAAATTATTGAAATGTTCACCAATAGGTAAGACATATGTCGATCATATGTTCTGACTTGGGAAAGATGTTCATGATATACCATTAACCTGAAAACATATTTTAGCAGAACTCAATATATTATATGATCTTACTTTTGCATTAAAAATTCTGTATGCATATGTTTGCTTAAGTCTGGTAGCATAAAAAAAGAAACTTACCTCTGATGAGTAAAATCAGGAAGGAGGAAATTTTTTAGCAATAAATATACATTATAAATTTTAGGCAATGCATAAAAATAGAAAAAAATAGTAATAGTAAAGAAAATCACTCATATCCACAATTATAATTTTGGTATATAGCAAACTCCTTCAAATATACAGTTTTTTCCTACATAATTAGTGTCAAACTGTTCTGTAAATATTTTTGCTTAACATAATAGTTTATTATAGTTATATTATATTCATTTAGATGTTAAATCTATTGATGAGTATCATTATTTTAAAAATTTACTAATAAATTAAGATATCTTGATGAAAAGACCTAAATGACTTTCAGATTACTCACATCAACATTATTACTAGAATATTATCGTTTAAATGTCTTCTGACTAAATTATTATATCAATTATTACATTATAATTTCTATGTACCGGTTGTCAAAAGGTAGGCAGTATAGCAAGAAGAGAGTCTTAGATTTTTAAGTCATAAGAATCAGGTTCAGCTCACTTTGGTCCTGATAGGATATTCAACTATTTTCTGGTTTATCTTCCTCATTTAAAACAAGAAGGGGTCATAATTGTCATTTCAAGGTTACTATGTGAATTCAACAACCACATTAAAGTGTTAGGACATCAGCCTTCTCTCTATGTATACTTAATCTGAATAAATATTAAACAATCTAAAGAATCACAAAAGGTAAAGAAACGTAAATCTTTTAATTCTAAGAAACTCAGTTCTTTTCCCCATTTGCAAAGTATAGCAGCCCCCAAACTGCTGGGAATTCATGGGAAAAAGAAAACTAACAATACAATTAAACACAAAGAAGAGTTATAAAATTTCTTTTAGAATCAAGTTAGCACTGAACATCAAATCAGAATCATTTGAGGAGGAAAAATTTACTTTGTCTTATAATTTCTCTATCTAAGAAATATCTATTGGTGCCCACTGTGCACCAGTGTGTTAAACACTGAAAATACACTGTTAAATAAGGCAGTTAAGACCCTGGTCTTTGTGGAGTTGACAATTTAATAAGAGAGAAAGGAAATAAATAAGTAAACAAACATAAAAATAATTATAGCACATGATAAATGCTAAGAGGGACAAACAGGATATTATAGTAAAGAATAATGGAAGGAGAGGGACTTATTTTAGAAAGAATGATTAAAGACTGCCTGTCTGAAAAAGTGATCTTGAGTTAGCCAAGAGAAAAATTGGGATATTTCAGACATAGAAAATAGCAAATGCAAAGTCTTGATGTAGTCTAGGTATGATAATTAGAGCAAAGTGTGTTAAGAAAAAATGTTTGAGATAAAGTTGAAGAGGTGAGTAGTAGCCAGACGATAAAAGGTATTATATCTGAGTAAATAGTTTGGATTTTATTTTAAGTACCATAAAAAGTTACTAAGGGATTTAAGTAATATGACCTCGTTTTAATTTAAAATTATCACTCTGGCTTCTGTGTACAAGATGGGATTCTAAGGAAACCAGAATAGAAGGAAGGAGACAAGTATGAAAAAACTATTACATTAGCTCATATGAGAAGTGAGAGTGGCAAGGGCCTAGGGAGGTAGGAGTGGAAATTGGGAGGAGTAAATTGATTTAGGTTATAGTTTTGGAGGTAAAACTGTCAGGATTGCCAGATTGTTTGGATGTAAGAAGAGATGGGGAATCAAGAATGCATGAGTTGTTTATGCTAGAACAACTAAGTAAATGGAGGTAATATTTACTCAGACAAGAAAGACTCTCTATGTCCATGATAATAAGTTCAATTACATCATAGAAAGGAAGAAAGTCACACTTAGATGGGCTAAAGAATGAATGGAGGAATTTGGAAGGAATTCGGAAGGGGCAACTATTAAGTTGGTTTTTCCCATATGAAAATGGGAGATATGGTCTACAACTGCAGGGGACAGGGACAGGGCTAGGGAAGAGTGGTCAATGGAAAGACTAGCTGTTTTTGCTTTTTATGACAGGATTTACCAAAGCATGTTTGTTGACAAGAACAATCCAGAAGACAGAGAGAGACTGAGGAACAGGAGGATTGGAGTCTTGGATTAGTAGGAGTGGTTAGGATTCATACCACATACCAGCATCTCTTTTTATGTGTAAGTAAGCATACTCACATTTGTTAGAGGAAAGCTTAGAACTTCAGGGTTTCTAAATGTATTTTTATACTTATGGCTATGTAGATGACTGGATATTTACCATTGCAAAAAAAGACCACACAAACTGGGCTTTAAACAAGAAAAAAATCCTATCTAATAAAAGAGAAACATGGTAATTAGCCGTACCTCCGCTACCCTTCCCATTGGCTAATCAGGGAGATATGCAAATTAACTGCCAACCAAGATGGCGGCCGGCAGCCAGGGAGCTTGAAGCGAACATGAGGCTTGCTTGCTTCAGTGAAGGAGGAAGCCAACGTTCCCCGCCTGCCGCTGCCGGCCTCTAAGCTTGCAGTTTGAAACATTGTTACAAATATAGAAGCTAAACAAAACCCCAGAAACCTGCTTTCAGCCAGCCGGGATCTCAGAGCTGGAGTTGAAACAAGTGTTTCGATTACAGAACCCAAACAAACCAGATACCTGCTTTCAGCAGCCGAGGCCTCAGAGCTGGAGCCAAGCCTCAGAGCTAAAGCTGGCCCAGAATAAAAAAAAAAAAAGAAAAAAAGGACAGGTTGGGAGCTTCAGTCACCCGCGAGCCTGAAAACGGCCCTCAGCCCCTCACCCAGACTGGCCAGGCACCCCAGTGGGGACACCCACCCTGAAGGGGGTGTGACCAGCTGCAAACAGCCATCAGCCCCTCACCCAGGCTGCCAGGCACCCAAGCAGGACCCCCACCCTGATCCAGGACACCCTTCAGGGCAAACCAGCCTGCCCCCTCCCGTGCACCAGGCCTCTATCCTATATAGTAAAAGGGTAATATGGCTCCCAGCACTGGGATCAGCAGAGCCGCGAGGCCCTCCCGGCACCAGGATCAGTGTGACAGGGGGAAGCGCCCAAACCCCCTGATCGCCCTGCAGATGTGTGTGTGACAGGGGGCGGGGCCACAACCTCCCTATCCACCCTGCTCTGTTCGTGACAGGGGAAGGCGCCCCAACCCCCCTGATCAGCCCTGCTCTGTGCCTGATAGGGGGGAGCTCCCCAACCCCCTGATCGCCCTGTGGCTGTGTGTGTGACAGGGTGCGGCACCCCAACCCACCCCCCCCCCACGGGCCCTGCTCTGTGTGTGACGGGGTAGAGCCATAACCTCCCCATCGGCCCTGCCCTGAGTGTGACAGTGGTGGCGCCCCAACCCCCTGATCGGCCCTGCTCTGTGGGTGACAGGGGGCGGTGCCCCAACTCCCCTGATGGGCCCTGCTCTGTGCGTGACAGGGGGGAGCTCCCCAACCCCCTGATCGACCCTGCTCTGGGCGTGACAGGGTACGGAGCCCCAACCCCCATGATGGGCCCTGCTCTGTGAGTGACAGGGGGCAGTGCCCCAACCCCCTGATCGGCCCTGCTCTGTGCGTGATTGGGGTGGCGCCGCAACCTCCCCATCGACCCTGCCTTGAGTGTGACAGGGGGCGGTGCCCCAACCCCCCAATCGGCCCTACCCTGAGCGTGACTGAGGGTGGCATCGCAACCTCCCGATCCGCCCTGCTCTGTGCATGACAGGGGGCAGCGCCCCAACTCCCCAATCGGCCCTGCTCTGAGCCCGACCAGGGGCTGCACCTAGGGATTGGGCCTGCCCTCTGCCACCCGGGAGCAGGCCTAAGCCAGCAGGTCGTTATAACCCGAGGGGTCCCAGACTGCGAGAGAGCACAGGCCGGGCTGAGGGGACCCCCTCCCCCCCCCCGCCGAGTGCACAAATTTTTGTGCACTGGGCCTCTAGTTTAATATAAAATCCATATAACTTTTTAATTAAAAAAATACACCTTACCTCTCGTTTGTCTAATGCAGCATACTCGGCTTCTATTTCTTCAGCTTCAGGATCTCGTGAGAATACCATTTGGGATTCCAGATTAAGGGCCAAATCTTTGTGGTGTTGCTTTTCAGCACAATCACAAGGAGTATCTTTATTCTCATTCTCAGCAAACAAGTCTCCTCCATGTTTTACTAAAAGCTAAAAAAGATTTTTTTAAAAATTTGCAATGATAGATTTAAATAAGTTATTTTCATGTTAAAAATATAAAACCTTTAATAAATGAAACACAACAAAAATGCAATATTAGTTCATGAAATGACAATAAAAGTTATTTAGGTATTAGTTGCTTCTCATTTTAAGATTGGCAATTCTTGTTTATTAATATTAAGATGATTTCCTTTTGGTTAAAAATAAGCTACAACACCACCAATTTCTTAAACTTTAAAAATAAAGTCCTTTTTGAAAATTAATTTTCAGAGAGAGAGAATGAGAGAGAAAAGAAATATTGATTTGTTGTTCCACTTATTTATCCATTCACTGGTTGATTCTTCTACGTGCCCTGACAGGAGATCAAACCTGCAACCTTGGTGTATGGAGACAACACTCTAACCAACTGAGCTACCTGGCCAGAGCTTAAAAAGAAATTCTTAAGCATTCTGCCCAATTCAAAAATAAAGTTTTACTTATCAATAAAATAATTTATAGTTATTCAATGCTTTCACTTTTATAAATTTCTAGGAATCATTATTAAACAAGAAGGATACCAGTGATACTGTTACTTTAACCACAAATACCTGGATATCCTGACATAGTGAACAAAAATTTTCATTTGTATCATTCCTTATTCAGTCAAACACTAAAATGAAATTAGGATGAGCAAGTCACTGAAGCAAAACCGTTTTCAATATTCCTCAAAATAAGTGATAAAGGCTTCTGGTCAAGATAGCAGCATAGGTGAATGTGGTACACATGTCCTTTCACAACCACATCAAAATTACAACTAAACAATTATCATTGAGAACAGCCTGAAATCTAGTGGAATAACTATGGATGTAAAGAAGAAGCCACATCCATACTGGTAGGAGGGGCAGGCTGGTCCCATACCCACATGTAGCAGATAAAAGTTGGGAGGGATATCTTAGTTATAGAGGCTCCCCTAAGGAGTGAAGGGTTGCAGCCCCACACCAAGCCCTCTAGCCCCGGGTTCCTTTGCCAGAAAGAGAAATCCCCATAACTTCTGGCTGTAAAAACCAGTAGGGATTGAGGCTCAGGCTGCTGAAGTCCCAGCAGTTCTCTTAAAGGGCCCATGCATGGACTTGGACTCACTCCCTAGGGCAGTGGTCGGCAAACTCATTAGTCAAGAGAGCCAAATATCAACAGTACAACGATTGAAATTTCTTTTGAAGCCAAATTTTTTAAACTTAAACTATATAGGTAGGTACATTGTTATTAACTTAACTAGAGGCCCAGTGCACAAAAATTTGTGCACTGGGGGGGGGGGGGGGGGAAATCCCCCAGCCCGGCCTGTGGCCCCTCTTGCAGTCTGGGACCCCTTCGGGAGATAACGACCTGCTGGCTTAAGGCCTGGCTCCCGGGTGGCAGAGGGCAGGCCAAATCCCTAGGTGCAGCCCCTGGTCAGGGCTCAGAGCAGGGCGATTGGGGAGTTGGGGCGCCGCCCCCTGTCATGCACAGAGCAGGGCGGATCGGGAGGGTTGCGATGCCACCCTCAGTCACGCTCAGGGGTTGGGCCGATTCGGGGGGTTGGGGCACCGCCCTCTGTCACACTCAAGGCAGGGTCGATGAGGGAGGTTGCGGCGCCACCCCCTGTCACGCACAGAGCAGGGCCGATCAGGGGGTTGGCGCTCTGTACTCTGTCACACACAGAGCAGGGTTGATCAGGGGGTTGGTGAGCTCCCCTGTCACGCACAGAACAGGGCCGATCAGGGGGTTGAGGAGCTCCCCGCTGTCACTCACAGAGTAGGGCCGATAGGGGAGCTGGGGCACCGCCCCCTGTCACACACAGAGCAGGGCAGATCAGGGGGTTTGGGCGCTGCCCCCTGTCACGCTGATCCCGGTGCTGGGAACCTCGCTGCTCCGCTGAACCCGGTGCTGGGAGGCATATTACCCTTTTACTATATAGGATAGAGGCCTGGTGCATGGGTAGGGGCCGGCTGGTTTGCCCTGAAGGGTGTCCTGGATCAGGGTGGGGGTCCCCATTGGGGTGCCTGGCCAGTCTGGCTGAGGGGCTGAGGGCTGTTTTCCGGAAGCGGGTGACTGAAGCTCCCAACCGCTCCTTTTTTTCTTTTTTCTTTTTTATTCTGGGTCAGCTTTAGCTCTGAGGCCTTGCTGCTGAAAACATCGATACAATGTTGCGGTCTTGCTGGCTGAACCTGGCTGACTGACAGCCGGTTTCTGGGGTTTTGTTTAGCTTCTTATTTGCAACATAGTACATAGCTGCATAGAGTTGCAGCTGAGAGGCCGGCAGCGGCAGGCGGGGAACGTTGGAGTTCACCGTCACTGGAACAAGCAAGCCTCCCTGCTCGCTTCAGTGCATGGCTGCTGGCCGCCATCTTGGCTGACAGTTAATTTGCATAAGGATATGCTGATTAGCCAATGGGAAGGGTAGCGGTCGTACGCTAATTACCATGTTTCTCTTTTATTAGTGTAGATTAGGGTACTCCTAAGCTGGCCTTTGCTAAAAACGTCCTCAATCTGACTGAGGTACATTTGCTGAGGTCGACCCCTTCCAACTCTCCCATCCACACTCGTCTTGTATACTTGTTTTCATCTATCTCAGTGGTCAGCAAACTCATTAGTCAACAGTGCCAAATATCAACAGTACTTCTTCAAAATAGACTCGCCCAGGACAAAAACCGACTTCTGCGCATGGGCCACGAAGTTTCAATCGCACTGTACGTGCGTGCCCGCACGTGGTATTTTGTGGAAGAGCCACATTCAAGGGGCCAAAGAGCCACATGTGGCTTGCGTGCCGCGGTTTGCCGACCACTGCCCTAGGGCAGCACCTTGAAAGGTACCAGGGACATATGGGAAGGAACTGAATTGTCTTGCCTGAGGGCGAGGTAAGAGGGGCAGCTTTTTGCCAGACAGATTCAAAGTTAGTTAGGGCTTTTTATTTTGATGTAGTCCCATTTGTTTATTTTCTCTTTAGTTTCCATTTACCTAAGAGCTGTATCAGTGAAGACACTGCTTCAGCATATGTCTGAGATTTTGCTGCCTGTCAATTCCTCTAATATTTTTATGGTTTCCCATCTTACATTTAAGTCCTTTATCCATTTTGAGTTTATTTTTGTGTATGGTGTAAGCTGGTGGTCTAGTTTCATTTTTTTGCATGTATCTGTCCAATTTTCCCAACACCATTTCTTGAAGAGACTGTCTTGACTCCATTGTATGTTCTTTGTCAAATATTGAGCATAGTGGTTTGGGTCGATTTCTGGGTTCTTTATTCTATTCCATTAGTCTATATGTCTGTTCTTGTGCCAGTACCAGGCAATTTTGAGAGCAGTGGCTTTGTAATACAGCTTGATATCTGGTATTGAGATCCCACCTACTTATTTCTTCTTTCTCAGGATTGCTGCAGCTATTTGGGTATTTTGTTTTTTTTATTCCAGATGAATTTTTGGAGAGTTCATTCTAGGTCGGTGAAATATGCCACTGGTATTTTAATGGGGAGTGCATTGAATCTATATATATTGGTTTGGGTAGTATGGACATTTTAGTGATGTTGATTCTACCAATCCATGAACACAGTATGAACCATCAACAAAACAACAAGAAAGCACATTTCATGGGAGAACATATTTGCCAATGTTGTCACTGATAAGGGCTTAATCTCCAACATTTATAGGAAACTCATACAACTTAACAAAAGGAAGATAAACAACGCAATCAAAAAATGGGCAATGGACCTAAATAGATACTTTTCGAAAGAGGACATAAGGAAGGCCAAGAGACATGAAAACATGCTCAAAGTCACTAATCATCTGAGAGATGCAAATCAAAATGACAATGCGATACCATCTCACACCTGTCAGAATGGCTATCATCAACAAATCAACAAATGACAATTGCTGGCAAGGATGCGGAGAAAAAGGAACCCTCGTGCACTGCTGGTGGAAATGCAGACTGGTGCACCCATTGTGGAGAACAGTATGGAGTTTCCTCAAAAAACTAAAAATGGAACTCCCATTTGACCCATGATCCCACTTCTAGGACTATATCCCAAGAAACTAGAAACACCAATCAGAAAGGATATATGCACCCCTGTGTTCATAGCAGCACAATTTACCATAGCTAAGATTTGGAAACAGCCTAAATGCCCATCAGCAGATGAGTGGATTAAAAAACTGTGGTAAAGGATTGGAACCAAGATGGCAGCATAGGTAAACGCCTGTACTTGCTGCCTCCCACAACCACATCAAAATTACAACTAAAATACAGAACAACTATCATCCAGAACCACGGGAAAACTGGCCGAGTGGAAGTACTACAACTAGACAGGTAAAGAAGAAAGTGCATTAAGACTGGTAGGAGGTGTGCAGACACGGAACAGGCTGGTCTGGCACCCAGGTGTGCCGCTTTTTTCATCGGGAGGGAGATCGCCTCTTTGGAGGCCGTCTGGAGGAGTAAGGAGTTCCAGCCCCACACCAGACCCCCTGCCCAGAGTTCCAGAGAAGTCCCTACGGGCAGTAAGAACTACGAACTATAAAAACAAGTGCGGACTGGGGCTGAGTGACACAGCTGCTAGAGACCCAGCTGCTCCTCTTAAAACAGCCGGTTCTCAACCTGTGGGTCACGACCCCTTTGGGGGTCGAACGACCCTTTCACAGGGGTCACCTAAGACCATCAGAAAACACATATATAATTACATATTGTTTTTGTGATTAATCACTATGCTTTAATTATGTTCAATTTGTAACAATGAAAATACATCCTGCATATCAGATATTTACATTACGACTCATAACAATAGCAAAATTATAGTTATGAAGTAGCAACAAAAATAATTTTATGGTTGGGGGTCACCACAACATGAAGAACTGTATTAAAGGGTCACAGCATTAGGAAGGTTGAGAACCACTGTCTTGAAAGGTCGGCACCTTGAACTGAATTACAAGCTCCCGGGGACCCAGACAAATACAGGGAGAAACTGGACTGTCTGGTATTGGGGCAGAAACGTG